AAGGCAGTCTGAGGAAGAACTGATGCCTTTGAGCTATGATGTTGGTGAAGAGTATTGGATATCCCATTAACTGCCAAAAGAATCTGTCTTGGAAGAAGTACAGCCAATGTGCTCCTTAAAACTGAGGATGGCAAGACTTTATCCCAAGGATTTTGGACATGTCAGTAGGGACCAGTCCCTGGAAAAGGACATCATGGTTGGAAAAGTATAGGGTCAGCAAAAATGAGGAAGACCCTCAATGAGATGGATTGAGACAGCGGCTGCAACAGTGGGCTCGAACACGGCGGTGATCGTGAGGAGGTGCAGATCAGAAGGCGGCGAGAGCTGGCACGTTGTGGGCTTGCAGTCAATGTCACGAAACAGGCAGTGTTTCGTCCTGTTGTACATTGTGTTGCTGTGAGTTGGAACTGACTCAATGGCACCTAACGACAACAGGTGTACATATACAAGCATAACTTTAACAACGTTTTTCAAATCACACCATTTGTTTTAGCAGAGTGGTTTTTGAAAACTTAGAACATGGCTTCCAAATATAGAACGAACATGTAACTACGTTTTATAAATCCATCAGAGGGTCCCTACTCAGTTTGATGGCAACTAGATAGGCATTTCACTGGGAATGTTAGAATAGGATAACCAGGGTAAGCAGTGTGTGTGTGTGCGCGCGCAGGGAAAAGGGCAGGGGTAGAGATGTGTGAACTCTGACTTCACGTGGGGGGGAGAGAATCACCATCAGCATCAAGAGCCTGAGGCTGACTCCTATGGGGCGGAGGTCAGACATGCCCCAGCTCCAGCCTCTTCACCAATTCTGAAACCAGTGGTCCCTCCCATGGCACTCTCCCTGCTTCTCTGCTGGGTTCGGTGATTGGTTGCAATGGCCACACAGAACTCACAACACTCACAATTATGTGGTTTATTGGGAAAGTAACGGATACATTTCACGATCAGAAACAAGCCAGGATACAGTTCTTCAATCAGTGTAGTGTCTTCTCAGCTGTGCCACAGGCATGCTTCTGACCCTGGCCTCTCAGCCATGAGGTCTCTTGGCCTCTACCCTACTCCAGCAAGTGTTACAAAGCTCTTCTAGTTCTGAAGCTAGGTGCCCAGAGAGGCTCTCCACTCCACCAGCAAGCCTCCTGCCCAAAGACACTCAGCGTTCGCACTTCATGGGCCAGAAAGCCCACTGCTATACCTTCTGCTGCTAGGGTCCGCTGGCATCCGTCAACTCTGCTGTTGTACCACAAACACTGCCCTCGAGTCGGACCTGACTCAGAGCGACCCCTCCTTGGGTTTCCGAGGCTGTATCACTACAGAAGTAGATTGCCCAATCTTCCTTCCGAGGAGTGGCTGGTGGGTTTGAACCACCAGCCTTCTGGTGTAATGCCTTAAGCACTAGGCCCATAGAGCTCCTTTTGTGCTCCAAAAGCAGCCATAAATAATATGTAAACCAATGCATATGTCTATATTCCAGTAAAACTCTGTAGACAGAACATTTATGGTAACTTCTTAACCACAGCCAGACACCTTGAGGGAATGAGTCATGGGGCCTGCAGGTTTGGGACCATGGTCATGGGGGACATCAAGCTCAACTGGCATAACATACTGCACAAAACATTGTTCTATATCCTACTTGTTGTGTATCAACTGGGGTCTTAAAAGCTTTTAAGGGACCATCTAAGATGCAACAATTGGTCTCTTCTCCTCCGGAACAAAGAAGAACGAAGAATATCAAAGACGTATGATAACAAATTAGTCCAAAGGACTACTGAACCATGCAAACCTCAGCCTACATGACCCTGAGACCAGAAGAACTAGATGGTGCCCAGCTATCACTGTCACGTGTGATAGTGGGGTCGCTTGGAAAGGGATCAAAATAGGAGATCCAGGATGGAGTGGGAGAAAAATGTGGAACAAAACTCAAAATCATAAAAAAGACCAGGGTTACTGGTCTGACAGAGACTGTTGAAAGCCCTGAGACTATGACCCCTAGTCACCCTTCAGGGCTGGAATTGAACTCACTCCCATGGATTCCAAACAACAGACAGGTCTACAATGAACAATTAGACCGGGTAGGCACACTCCTTAGATTGATCAACCATGGGAGATCAGAAGGGCAGCACTTGCACAGGGAGACAGCTCCGGGGGCAGGAATGCATAGGATAGGTCACAGGGAAAAGGTAAAACCACAGGGAGGAAGTGCAGGAAGAGAGCTGTTACATTATGGGGATTGCAATCAGTGTCATGAAACAAAATGTGTATGAACTGTTGGATGGAAAACAGATTTGTTCTGTAAACATTCACCCAAATCACACTTAAAAAAAAAAAAACTTTATAGACACGTATATGAACTTCATATAATTCTCATATGTCATAAAATGTTGTTTAAATTTTTTTCCAACCATTAAATATATATATATATAATCACCAAACCAAACCCAAACTGACTTCCATCAAGTTGATTCCAACTCATAGCAACCCCTTTGGGTTTCTGAGGTGGTAAATCTTTGCAGAAGTAGATTGCCCAGTCTTCCTTCCATGGAGTGGCTGGTGGGTTTGAACTGCCAAACTTCTGGTTAGCAGTCAAATGCCTTAGGCACTATGCCACCAGAGATCACAGACTGTTCAAAAACAGGTGGCAAGCTGTTTGGCCCTCAATACCCCTGCCAAAGATTGGGTTGTTTCCACTCCAACCTCCCTTTCTGCAGGCCATCCTAAGTAAGCACCATGGTGAGAACAGTCTTGTTCTCCTTTTCATCCATTCAAACTCAGCATGTCTCAATCTAAAGTCCAAGTCATTTCCTATCCTGGGCTCTCACCACTGTCAATAGCTGCAAGTTCACTCAAGTTAGAAACCCAGGAATTAGTCTCAGAGTTTCCAGTCAAGAGCTTTGGTGGAGTAGTGACTAAGGCATTTGACTGCTCACCAGAAGGCTGCTGTTCAAACCCACCAGCCACTCAGCAGAAGGAAAACTAGGCAATCAACTTCTGTAAAGATTTACCACCTTGGAAACCCAAGGAGGGGTCACTATGAGTCAGAAACGACTCAATGGCAGTGAGTTTAGTTTAGTTTGTTTCCAGTCAACTTCTCAGCACATCCCATCAGTCACTTAGATCTGTTGAATCTGTCTTCTAATTATAGTTTAATACCCACTGTCATCCAATAGATCCTGACTCATAGTGACCCCTGTCGGATTTCCAATAGGGTTAATTTTTACGGAAGTAGATTGCCCCATCTTCCTTTAGTGGAGTGGCTGGTGGGTTTGAACCACCAGCCTTCTGGTTAGCAATCAAATGCCTAAGGCACTGACCTGCCAGAGTTCCTTTATAGTATAATAGGAGCTCTCATTTTTTTTTTTTTTATCATTTATTTTTTAAATTTTTATTGTGATTTGGGTAAAAGTGTACAGAGCAAATTCATTTTCCGTACAACAGTTCATGCACGTTTTGTTTCACGACATGGACTGCAATTCCCCACAATATAACAGCTCACTTCCCACTTCTGGGGCTCTCGAACTTAAGTGTGCACCAGAACTTCGTGAAGTCTTTTGTAAAAGAAGCTGGGTCTCGGGGGAGCCCAGAGTCATGCATCACAGATAATTTCGAAGGCAATTCTGACACCCGTCGGAGGGCCTAGCCTTCAGAAACACTATCCTAGGGGCACGGTGCCAGGTACTTGTACCTGAATTTAATCCTCATAGCCCCCCCTATGAAAGATGTATCCTCATTTTAGAAACGGGGGAAAATTGAGCTGCTGCCCAGGTAACTAGGTCTCTTTGGTTCCATGGCAGGCTCCATTTCCTGCAACTGGAGACATATTCCGTGGGCTGCAGATAGGGAGAGGCACGGCCTGCCTTTCTCCTAGGACGGCAGCAAACCGAGGCAGATCCGCAAAATCCTCCCATCGGAAAAACGGACGGAACGCAGGGCTCCCTCGGAACTTCTTAGCTCGAGAACGCCAGGCGTAGGGGAACTCTAGTCTCAAAGCACTGAGGACTGCAGGGGGACGTTTAAGCTGAAGGACTGCCTCGTTTCAACAACAACTTTATGTTTCCCGGAAGTGCCTTCTCCAGGTCCCCTGCACAACCTCACTCCTGTGGGCTGCAGGTGAAGAGATGGCGGCAGCGGCGGCGGCCGGCCTAGGTCCG